TGCTTCCACTTGTGCACAAAGGTCACGGTGAGCTTCTCGTAGTGGTCCAAGTCGTGCGCCGGCTCGCGGAGGACGTCCATGAGCTTAAGCCGCTCCGTCTCGTAGAGCTCGGCCTCGTGGTCCAGCACCGCAGGGGGGGCATCGGAGAGGTTGGGTGGTTCACTGGTGGGCTCACCAACGACCTCCCATTCATCCTCATTGAAGCTAGGGTCGCTCGGCTCCGTGGTCCCGGCCCCGGCCTCAAACCAATCAGCATCGACAGTCTCAACCTCCCGCACCATCGGCTCAGAGCTTGCGGCTGCTCGCTCTTGCCGCTCGCCATCATCCAAGCCAACCTCGTCAGCCTTTCGCTTTGAAGCTGGGCTGCCGCCGGCGTCTGCCAGCAACTCATCTGAACAGGACGAATCAGAATCTGACCCGGCCTCATCTCCACCTGCTGTGTCCATGTTGCCCTGCTGGTCGGCGGCCACTGCTCCATCAAGTACTGGTACGGGAGCGTCAGGAGCACTGGCAACATCAGCGAGAGGAGCTGCCAAAGGAACAACGGGCGCGCGTTTGCGCCGCTTCTTTTCCACAGTGGTCTTCTCCCAAGGAAGGCCATGGTACTTCTCCAAGAGCTCCTTGGTGGGTAGCTGCAGCTCCTTGCTTGCACGCCGCACCGAGGTGGCCTGCACAGCGCCGTGCTCAGTGAGCATCCAATCGGTGCCGTTGTGCTCGCTGATGCCAACCCACATGCCATCGATCATCACCGGTTCCCCCTTGAATGACCGAGGAACTTTTCCAAAAACAACTTCTCCAAAGCAGCAAAGCTTGGCTGTGACGGGCTTCCCTCCATGGGCCATCTCGTAGGGAGTTCTCTGTAGGCCGGCCACGACGTTGAAGCGGTTGTAGAGGAAGCTAGCGTGGGAGTGGGACCACGCTCGAAGATCAGCTTCTGCAGGTAGTTTGCCGTGCCGATCCTCAAAGTCACAAATTTGCCAAATGCCGCACGGTTTGCACTGCTCGTTCTACTCCTCCGTTGGCCTGGTGGTCGCCTACAGGAGTGGTGCGCTGCAGGGTGCGGTGGCCCAACGCATGGCGAGCCTGAGCCACGGCACGCACCACGCTCTTTATCGAGGGCTCCCCATCTGACTGGATCGTCACGGGCTCGCTGGCATGGAGGGCAATGGTGAAGCGGGCCAGCTCCTGTGTGCATCTCGTAAGCACCGTGGCCCCTTTTCCAGGACACGGCACAGCAAGAACCATACGCGTGTCCAAGTCCACTGCCAGCAAGCAACAAAGAGGAGCACCATCACCATCATCTCCGGGGGCTGGCCGTCCTTCAGGGTCGGCGGCCGTGAAGTAAAAGTCCACCTGCAGCACTGACCACTGTTGTTCCACGCGTTGCGGTCGATGAGCGTCTGCACGAGAGCGGGTCCGAACGCATGCCGAGCACCACCTTGCAAAAGGAATGTGAGTCAAAGAGTGAAGTGCTCGGTCCTCGTCGGTCGGCTCCTCTGGGACATCTCTTGCCAACGGTGTTCGCAAACCATCGCCCTCGAGAGCATCTGCTGCTTGTTTCGCCACAAACGCCTCAAGCTCATCACCTTCAAGACCTGCTGGTGGCTGGACCGGACCGTCGTCACGACCACCTCCACGAAGAGCTGCTCCAGGATCACGATGGTCATCTGCACGAGGAGCTGCTCTCCTCAAGCGGTCGGCCTCGGCCTCTCGCCGGGCTGCTTCAAGCTCACTCTC